AGCCTAGACCGACCTAGACCGGACTTACTGACCGACCGGTACCGTTTCAGTTTCGGCCTCTAGGGCCTCTCCCTACCCGGCTATAGGCTATAGGACCGTCTATCAGCGTAGGCCCATAGGGCCTGTCTGTCCTAGGGGTAGCCCGGGTCTGCTATTCGCAGTTAGGGTAGCTGTAGGAAAATCGAGTTAGTACAAGGACCATATTTCTATATTTACAGATATGTCCCTCACGAGTTTTCCACACAGGTAGGTCTCCCGGTTAGCCCTCAGCCAACAAAATTACGAATCTACCCCTGACTATAGTACAGTCTCGACAGAGTGAGGCCACAGGCAACATGGAAACAACAAGTCAATGCAATTACATAGGAAGGAAGCGCCAGGTCCAGACATACACAGACAAAGAGGAGGGGATCAGACGAAGAAGAGGGGGAGAGATGGGAGTGTCGTCAACATCAAGTCTTTGTCACAAGTGCCAAATAATCCCTCGTCGAAATGTCTGAAGCCCAAAAGTCAAGTGTGGATCCAATGTCACCAAGCTCTCTCTCTCTCTTTCTCTCGTAGTCTGCTGATGCAGTGAAGTTAGATAATGAGAGGGTGAGAGGGAGATGGTGGACTGAGAAGAGGAAGAAGAAGAGCTCTCTCTCTCTCATGAGCCAGGTACTAACCTGTGAAGTTGGCACAGTGTTGCAGGTACCTCGAAGACGAAGCTGGAGCAACGGCGCTGCAGGTAGGTACTCCTGGCCTCCGCCCAATCCCTCTCTCTCTAGTACTATCCTAGCTATGGCGCCCAGCGTTCAAGACTATAGCTACCTACTGGCGCCCAGTGCTGAAGACTAATGCTAACGCTACTACTACTCCTGCAGCGCTCCCTCCAGAGTGTTGTTGCCGAATCCTGAAGACTACTGATTGCCTCCTGCCTACCCGTGAAGTGCATGGGAAGTCCCTATGTACTATCTCAGCCTGCCTCCTGACTGCCTCCGACTGCCTGCAGTTGCAGGGCGGGCAGTCCAGGAGGCTGCTCTTGCCAATGCCGAACTGAGCCAGGGGCTAGTGCTGCAGCTGTCGTGGGAACAGGCAAAAAATAGCTTGTTCCTAAAACCCTGGTTCGGTGCCCGACTTTCAGGGCAGGCCGTTCTGATGACAGACCAGAAATGGCCCTTCGTTTCAGGCTAAAAAGGCTACTGCCATTTTTAGTCTGAAACGACACAGGGTCTGTAGGCCTCTGTTTTTCAGACTTTCGAGCTCAACGGTCACGGGTCTTGTAGGCCCTGGTTTTCAGGCTTTCAGCCTAAGGGACGCAGGGCCTGGAAAATGGCCCTCGTGTGCAGGCGCAGCATGTAACACCCCCCCCTCCTTATGAAGTCAAGTCGGGGCGAGGGCGAAGCTGAAGATCTGAAGGCGGAACCTGGATGCGGGCGTGGCGTGGAGCCGAAGAGACCAGCTTGCCTTGCATCTTGCTGTTGCTTGAAGTTCCGCACGGGTCAACCAACGGTCAGCTTGATGTGTGCAGTATTTGAAATGTACCAAGTACTCGGTTGGCCTGTTGGTAGCGTCGGTGGGAGATGATGTCGCCGACCTACTGAAAACCGTCCATAGAGGGTGGGTCTTGTGAACGTCTCCCGGGAAAATTGTCATGTTCCGCAGGTGTGTAAAGAGCCAACTTGGAGCAATGAAAGACTTGGTAGACGGGCAAGTGGGCGGGCACCTGAATAGTGAAGGAAGGTCCCTCGGGTGCATCCCCAGCGGGTGCCACGATCAGCCAAGGCCCCATCCATTTCGGGAGGAGCTTGCGAGAGATATCTTGTTCAAGGCTGAATTCCGCGGCGGAGATCTGAACGAGATCGCCGGCACGGAATGGGCAAGGAAGACGCTGGCGATTGGACTGTTGGCTCTTGCGTTGTTGCGTCTTGGCCATCTGGTCACGTGCCTTGACAAGTAGCTCTTGCATCCGACGCAAGAAAAGAAGATGGTCGTCGCTCTCGGCTGTTCGTGGAGTTTTAGTGTCCAACGGCGAAGTGACCGGCGAGCCGTGCTCGAACTCGAAGGGCGACATCCCGATAGCCGGGTGGATGGAGGAGTTGTAGGCCAACTCGACATCCGACAGCCGCTCAACCCAATCCTTTTGGTTAGGACGGATGAGAGTGCAAAGGAGAACCTGTGCGGTCTGGTGCGCCCTTTTCGTTTGGCCATCGGTCTGGGGGTGGCGAGCTGAACTGGGCTTGAAAGATGAGCCCCATCGCTTGATGAGCGCCAACCAAAAATCGGACATGAACCGAGTGTCGCTGTCGCAGACGATTTCCTTGGGGTAACCCTTGGTTCGAATCCAACTGGCGTAAAGAACCTCGGCCAACTCCGGTCCCTTGGAATGATAGCGGCAAGGCAAAAACATGGCGAACTTGGTGAGTCGGTCGACCACTGTGAGAATCCCATCCACGCCGGTCTTGTGCTTGGGGAACGGGCCGGTAATGTCCATGGCAATCACTTCCCTTCACCTCAAAGGGACCGGTAATGGTCGTAACTCGCCGTACGGACGGTGGTTGCGGGATTTGCAGCGTCGGCAAACCTCGCATGACTCGCAATAGCGTGTGACGTCGCCGAGAAGGTCGGGCCACCAAAATCGCTCGTGAAGTCGGCCAATCGTGCGATTGACTCCAAAGTGTCCGGTGGCGGGAGCATCGTAAAACTCGCCAAGAAGCCGTGTACGCAAGTGAGGATCACTTGATACAAAAAGAAGGTCCTTCCCCCGTGTGTGGACAAGCAAGTACCCCTCTTGGATCCGGTAGTGAGAAGGCGCCGGATTAGGAAAGAAGCAATTCGCGTACTTGTCGTGAAACTCGGGGTCGGCTTGGTAGCCGCGGATGAAGCTGTTCCGCAGGTCGTCGTCGATCTCGAAGGTTGAGTAGACCGCGGTACAATGATCCGGACACCGTGAAAGAGCATTCGCAAAACGGTTTGACTTCTCGGGAATGTGATCAGGAAAGAAGTCGAACTCGTTGATGAAAGCCATCCATCGAGCGATGGTGCTGTTGACGGTGTCTTGGGTCTTATAAAAGACCAACGGATTGTTGTTCGTTACCCATCGGAATTGGCTTCGACCAAGGAGGAAGTGTCGCCACCACTTCAGCGCGTGGACGAAGAGGAGGAACTCCTTCTTGCGTGCATTGTCAATGGAATGCACGACGGGCACTTTCTTGCTGAAATACTCGACCGGGTGCCAGTCTACACCATCATGTTGCTTGAGGACGGCACCAATGCCATAGCTGGACGCATCCATAGTGACGCCCGTAGGCAAAAGCGGGTCGTATATGCGCAAGACCTCCACAGATAATAGCGCGGCTTTGAGAGCCAAAAATGATTCCCGCGCCTCTCTGAAGTCAAACGGCCGATCCTCGCATTGAAGCTTGGTCAAGTGGGTCGCGATCTTCGAGTAGCCTTTGATGAAACGCTGATAGTAGCTGGCGAGGCCAAGGAACGAACGAACATCCGTGACGTTCCGAGGCTCCGATCACTCTTCGATGGCTTGAATCTTGTCCGATAGCGGACTGATGCTTTCTGGTGTGACAAAATGGCCCAAGTATTCCAGCTCTTGCCGGACAAATTCGCACTTGTCGCGGTTGGCCTTGTGCTTGGCGTGGCGGAGCGTTTCCAACACTCGTCGAAGATGCCCAAGATGATCCTCCAATGACCGGCTATAGACGAGAATATCGTCTAAGTAGACCAGCATGAACCGGTCCAACATTGCACGAAACTCATTGGTCATTGCCGCTTGAAAGGTCGTCGGGGCGTTGGTGAGGCCAAAAGGCATAACCAGCCACTCAAAATGTTTGTACCGTGTCTTGAACGCGGATTTGTAGCGATCATTCGGCCGGATCGAGATTTGATGATATCCCGATTTCAAATCCAACTTAGAAAAATACTTTGCGCCGCCCAATCGCTCAAGAAGATCGCCGATGCGAGGAAGAGGCCCTTCATTCTTGACGGTTTGCGCGTTGAGCTTGCGATAGTCGATACACAATCGTAGATCCTTGTTCTTCTTCCGGACGAGGAGAACTGGTGCTCCATATGGGGAGCTACTAGGGCGGATCCAACCCTTGGCCAACAAATCGTCGAGTTGTGCGCGGAGGACCTCAAGCTCCTCCTCGCTCATCCGATAGATGCAACCTTTCGGCGGCACGGCACCGGCCTCAAGAATGATCTCGTGAGAGATCGGCCGATCCGGCACCACACCGGTAGGTGACTCGAAGATGTCGGCGAACTCATCCAGCAACCGCACCAACCGGAGGTCCGAAGACAAGTTCAAGGGTGAAGATTCGGCTACCGCGACGGTCCGTAGGAAACATAGGCCGATTTCCTCGGGTTGCTCGTAAGCGCAAGTTGCCCAGAATGATTTGGCCGTCACCACTTGGCATCGAATTGAAGGGTGCGGAAGAGGAAAATAGTACACGCCACTTCGGCACCGAAGGCGTCGTGAACGCTAAGAGTCCGCCGGTGGAAGTTGACCGTGTGATTCGCACTTGCAAGCCAAGGCATTCCCAGAATGATGTCGAAGTCCGTGTCCAAATGTCGAACATCACAGATTCGCATGCATGAGGTGCGAAATAAACCGGTACGGCCTCGATGTAACGATCGAGAATTTGTTGTGTCTTTCCATCCGCCAACTTGATCACCGTCAGGTTTGCCTTCCTCTGAACTTGTGCGCCAAGGCCAGCCCTTTGCGTAAAGGCTTGGCTCATGAAATTGTGAGACGCGCCGCTATCCAGCAAAGCGCTGCAGGACGCTTGCCCAACCTGGATGCGGACATACAAGAGCGGTGCGTTGTTGTCATCGTACCGTTGCGTGCAAAACTCGCAGGCCACCTTGGTAACATACGCAAGGACGTCCCCCACCGCGACTTCGTCATCCGTCAGTGAAGTTGGTGGTGCATAGAAGGATAAGTACGTGTGGAGATGAGCGCATAGTGCTGCGCATTGCGGTCCCGGCAGGCGGCCCGTGGTCGGGAGAGGAAGCCATGCAAAGTCCTCGAACGTGAGCGGGTCCAATACCTCTATGTTGAACTCGCGCGCCGAATCTCGTGAAGAACCACTTGAAGACGATAAGTCGCCGCTGTCGGACGGAGAAAATGTCGCACACACGTCTTGTCCTTGAGCTTGAGTACCCAGCGTAGGAACAAACCGGGCAGCATAGTCCTCAAGAGAATACAGAAGAGGAGGACTATCGACTTCCACATGTGCCTTGGAACGAAGGGCGGTCACCCGCGAAGCGACCGGTTCCGAAGGCGTCGAGAGTGTCGTCGAGTCACTCCCGGCGGTGCTCAATTTCCTGATTTGCCCTTGCCTTTCAACGGGCAGGCCAGTGTTTCATGGAGATCGCTGTTGCACCATAGGCAATAGTGGAATCTCGTGCGCGCTTTGAATGCTTGCTCGGAGATGCCGTATTGGGACCATGGGGCTGGAGCTGTTGCACCGGGACCGGGGCTAGATGCGGTGTTTGTCTTCGGTTTGCCGCGTCCTCGGTCTTTGCTGGGGCGGCCACCTTCCCGGGCGGCTGCGAGTCTGTCCCCTTCATTGGCAGACACGGCCTCGCTAGTTTGGTCAAACGGCGTTGCCGCCGCGACCACGGCCACTCTTGGTCGATGCTGGTCTCTGCTCGGGCCTAGCGCATACGAACGCAGGTTCTTAGCCTCCTTGTTCGTGATGATAATCTGCGCGGCCTAAACAAAAAGTTCCGCCGTTGTCGTCAAGGTGTCCTCGACGTGAGTCAGGACATTGCTTACTGCCGGACATGACCTTGAGATGAAATAGTGGCGGATGGCTTTGAAGTCCATCTGGATGTCTGGGACTGATGTCAAACGTTGGTACTCGGCAATCCAGTCGACATAGCGTGCCTTGTTCGAAGACCATTAGCTTGTCCATTGCTTTGATCTCCGACGGCTCTACCTGGAACCACTTGTGCCACGCCGCCTTCAGATCATCCCAGCTACTACTCCGTACTTGGACAAGACATTGTCCAACCATGCCTGGCACGCGCCCCCTGACCGGGAGTACAAGTACTTATGGTGCTTGTGTTCTTTGACGTAGTGGAGCTGCAGCGTGAGCTCGAACTTGCGGAACCATGGAATCGGATTTGTCTTCGTCGAGTCGCAAAAGATCTCCTGCCCATCAAACTTTGGAGTTGTCTTGCACGGTTCCGAACTCGAATTGTTGGCGGTAGTACAGATCCGTTGTTCCGACTGTTGCGTTACGGTCTGTTGTAACTGCACGCTGTCCTTGAGGCAGACGACGTCCATTTCCAATGCTTCGAGGCGATCGAAGGTATTGGAAGAGCTGGCATCAGGGGCGGCGACAGGTCGCTGCTCCAGCTGCCGGAGGCGGCCGTGGACTTGAGTCAGCGCGTCGTCGAGGCCGTGGATGTCCTCCTACTGTGTTGCCTGGAGGTCCGTGAGATGGGAAAGGAGTAGAGCGATCTTATTTTCGCTATTCTCCATCTTGCCATTCTCGGCCTCGGCCCGCCAAACCGCTGCCATTGTGAGCRAAGTTTGCTCTCCGCTAAATATCTTCTCCCGCCGTTGAACTCGTTCTTCATCAGCAGCCTTTGCTGCTGCCTCGTCGTGCTGGCGCTGTTGTTCCAATGCCAGCAGACGTGTCTGCTCGGCGTCCTCTGCCTTCTTCTTCGCTGCTATTGCTGCGTCATCCACCCATCTCTTTGTTTCAGTACTCCAGGCCAGCATCCGAGCCTGATAGGCCTTGTCTGTTTCCCTGGACCTCTGGTCCATGACGGCTATTTGTGAACGCAGCAGCATAGACCAGGCCGGGGGCCTACTGACGTGGTATTTCCTGCGATGTCGGTTGACGTGGCCTGCTGACGTGTCCTGCTGACGTGTCCTACTGACGTGGCCTGCTGACGTGGTCTGCTGGCATGTCCTGCTGACGTGGCAACTCACCAATGTCGCCGTAGGGGGTACCCGGAGACCGAGAGAGAAGGTAAGACCAGAGGTGGCAACAACATAGATAACGCCCAGATAAGGAGCCACTAATAAAAAAAAAGAAAAGTTTGAACTTTGCGAAAAAAAATTCGAGAAAAAATAAAAATCCCGAGTTTTGCAAGTTTGGTAGGTCTCCCAACCTCCCTTGAAGTGCGAAACTATCACTGTGAAAAAAATTTTGAACTACAGACTGCAAATGATTTATAGGACTGACTAATAGAATCCTAGAACTGCGAAAAAAAATTCCGAAAAAAAATCAAATATTCGGACTTACTCAGAGTATTCGCAGTTTGGAAAATAATACCCGCAGGAGGGATTTTCAGTACCGTTTTCAGAAAAACGAATTTCGGAAAAAAAAAATTTCCGAATTTCCAGGTAACGGGAAATGCAACAGGAAATCGAAATTTTCGAAAAGAAGGATATCCCGGATTTTCAACAACGAAATTTCGAATTTTCAAAAGAAAAAACGAAAATGGAAATTTCAGATGTTGCACTATTGCGATTTTCCACAACAGAAATAGCGAGAAAACAAAATCCAAGAAAAGAAAAGAGAAACTCGATTTTCGGCAATAAGCTCAAAATCATGATTTTGGGCGCTAACTAGTGTGCTCTAATCAATCTATCACGACTAATCAGCTACCTGGTCCCTGCACCCGTGTCAGATAAGGTTGTCCTGATTCACGTGCGGTGTTCCGATACCAACTGTTACATGCCCAGTTGGGCAATGTACCTACAAAACCGAGGATCCGCAATGTGATGAAGAGGACCGAATGGATAATGCAGTGCAAGTAGAATCTCAACAAGCAATGCGCAGTCCGATACATACAAAATGGTGCTTTATAGTGCAGGGAAGACTTAGATACAAATTCTGACCTGACCGAGACGGACCCCTTGCACGTAGTACAAGATAGCGAAGCAGAACGCTAGAATGCTAATGACTAGCCCAATCAATGTTTCAACGCAGACCAAACATACATCATGCTCATCACAAGGTGTGAAGGAGCCTGGCGCTATTACACAGGAAGGAAGCGCCACGTCCTGACATACACAGACGAAGAGGAGGGGATCAGACGAAGAAGAGGGGGAGAGATGGGAGTGTCGTCAACACCAAGTCTTTGTCACAAGTGCCAAATAATCCCTCGTCGAAATGTCTGAAGCCCAAAAGTCGAGTCTGGATCCAATGTCACCAAGCTCCCTCTCTCTCTCTTTCTCTCGTAGTCTGCTCATGCAGTGAAGTCAGATAATGAGAGGGTGAGAGGGAGATGGTGGACTGAGAAGAGGAAGAAGAAGAGCTCTCTCTCTCTCTCACGAGCCAGGTACTAACCTGTGAAGTTGGCGCTGTGTTGCATGTACCTCGAAGACGAAGCTGGAGCAACGGCGCTGCAGGTAGGTACTCCTGGCCTCCACCCAATCTCTCTCTCTTTAGTACTATCCTAGCTATGGCGCCCAGCACTGAAGACTATAGCTACCTATTGGCGCCCAGCACTGAAGACTAATGCTAACGCTACTACTACTCCTGCAACGCTCCCTCCAGAGTGCTGCTGCCGAATCCTGAAGACTACTGACTGCCTCCTGCCTACCTGTGAAGTGTCTGGGAAGTCCCTACGTACTATCTCGGCCTGCCTCCTGACTGCCTCCGACTACATGTAGTTGCAGGGCGGGCAGTCCAGGAGGCTGCTCTTGCCAATGCCGAACTGAGCCAGGGGCTAGTGCTGCAGCTGTCGTGGGAACAGGCAAAAAATAGCTTGTTCCTAAAACCCTGGTTCGGTGCCCGACTTTCAGGGCAGGCCGTTCTGATGACAGACCAGAAATGGCCCTTCGTTTCAGGCTAAAAAGGCTACTGCCATTTTTAGTCTGAAACGACACAGGGTCTGTAGGCCTCTGTTTTTCAGACTTTCGAGCTCAACGGTCACGGGTCTTGTAGGCCCTGGTTTTCAGGCTTTCAGCCTAAGGGACGCAGGGCCTGGAAAATGGCCCTCGTGTGCAGACGCAGCATGTAACAGTTTTGTTTCCCGACCCCCTTACCCTTTTCTCTAATGGGTGTGGCTACTCCACCATCTGAAGTCTCCCCAAGCGCATCTATCTCTTTTTCTTCCCCAAGATCAGAGAAGTCATCAATCTCAGTTGCTTGAACATTGTGGTCAACGAACATAAGATTGTCTTTCTTCCTCCAATCTTGGGGAAGCTTCTTCTTCCTCCCATCAACCGATCCTTCCTAGGCACTCCAAAGCTTACCCTTTATGTCTAGACCTTTCTTGTTGAACGAGGCGAAGTTATGCATATCTATGGAGGCCTCATCGACCAACTTATTCTTGACATTTGTAGGCAGACATTGCAAATAAGTTGTGAGGAGTACCTGCGGCTCGTACCGCACGCAAGGGACAACAATCAATCGGCACTTGATACCTCGCGAACTGTCCGATATCTCTTTGATCCTAGACTAGCTATAGAGTCGGTGGCCTGAGCCCCTTGCGGGTCATGCCACTTGTTGTAGACCATCCGTACAAACTCCTCCAATGCCCAGACCTGTGCCCAGCCATCGAAGTGCTGACCGTATCCTTGCTGTTGTACTACACCGTTTAGCCACCTGGCTGCAGATTCCTCTAGGAAGGATGCAGCGACAATAACTTCTTCCTCGGTCCTTGTGAGCTTATGCCTTACATAAGTAGGCACAGTCCTCGCCCAGGTACAAGTTCCTCTTCCTTCTTCTTGTCGCCAAAGGAAGGGTTTAGGACTCAGCAAGGGTATTGGGTGTCCATTGCATGGACTGTACAGCACCTTGTGCATGCTGCATCGGTTGAGAAACTGATGGAACAGGCCACTGCAGTGGCATTTGTTGCTGCAACGGCATTTGCTGCTGCTGCTGTATTTGCTGCAGCTGCGGACCCTGTTGCAAAGGATGCTGCACGTGTGGCTGCCCTGTAGCGGCAGCCACTGATTGGGGAAAAGAAGAAGACTGTACAAGAATTTGCCCACTACTACCTACTGCTAATCCACCTGCTGGGGGCATGCCAAACTGAGAGGCAAAGGGCTGCCTTGTCGGTGGCAGCATCAACACTGGACCTGCAACCGTAGGGGGAGCTACCGCCATCTAGGGTGGCCTCACCGGAGGTCGAGACGCCTGCAATGCGGTCAGAATCTGATTCTGGCTGGCTATCAGTGCAGCCAACATTTCCTGTTGTATGGCCTGCACTTTGGCTACACTCAACAAGGAGTTCTGAAGGGACAGCACCACAAGGTCAAGAGCCGACTCATCTATAGCGTCTAGTTTGCCTAGCTCCTCTGCCCTTGACTCTAGACTGGCTTTTCTAAGTCTAGCTCTCTCTCTCTCTTCTATCCTCTACCTCCTGCA